CACACAGCTCTCTTGCACTTTGCAAGGCCTAATCTTGGGTAGAGAGGTGAGGATGCTATAATTTCAAGAGAAGTTTTACATTTTTATTGTTATTCTAGATATACTAATTACTGAGCTGGAACCATGTCTCATTTTTAACTTAAATGTAAAGGCAACTATTAGTCCTGCAGCATATGTTTGAATTGGCAGTGACAAAATAAATCAAGTTGTTTTCTAATTATACCACATGAGTTTTGCAAGTTCAGTAAAATAATTTCCTTAAGTGCCTCCTTAGTATAGCTGCCCCAGGTGCCTCTTCAGTCCACTATTCTGTCTGGATTGATTTGGCCTTTGCTTATAAGACAGCATAAGGTTAATCTAGAATTAAAGAATCTAAACTGGAGTTATAATTTTATAGTTCACTATATGATCTCAGGTATGTCTCTTCTTTTTCCTTTTATGAAAAGTAAAAGGGAGGCCGGGCGCGGTGGCTCAAGCCTGTAATCCCAGCACTTTGGGAGGCCGAGGCGGGTGGATCACGAGGTCAAGAGATCGAGACCATCCTGGTCAACGTGGTGAAACCCCGTCTCTACTAAAAATACAAAAAAAATAAATGGGCATGGTGGTGCGTGCCTGTAATCCCAGCTACTCAGGAGGCTGAGGCAGGAGAATTGCCTGAACCCAGGAGGCGGAGGTTGCGGTGAGCCGAGATCGCGCCATTGCACTCCAGCCTGGGTAACAAGAGCGAAACTCCGTCTCAAAAAAAAAAAAAAAAAAAAAAGAAAAGTAAAAGGTGATTATGCCCACATCCATAGTTATTGAAAGCATTAAATTACATTGTGTAAATCAAAAGGATTTTTAAAAAATCTACTGTATTATAAAATAAAAGTTTAAAATATTTATTAATTTGTCTTAAATTACAATCGATCCATTACATATTTATATATTTATATGAAAAGCAACTATGTTTTTAAAAATAAAATAATTTAGGGAGATGAATGGCATTGTTTAGGGTTTTGTTTTTCCCAGTTTTTAGAAAATGTCTCCCTTAATAGAAAACAGCTAGATACACTAATGGCTTCAAGAAGTGTTCACTTAACATCCAAGATAACGCACAAAGACCCTTGTCTAATTCGTTTTGATTTTTTATCTGCTTGCTTGTAATAATTTTTTTCTCATTTCCTATAAACTTCTAATTTTCATTCAACTAAAAAAAAAAAAAGAAAACAGCTAGATTCTTAAATCTGTTTCTGCATTCAATCTATTGCAATGTGTGGTTTGAGTACAGAACAGGAAGAAACTCTGGCCTCAAAGATATATGTAGTCAAAACGGATTAATATTTTAATAGTAATTTCAGATAATTGTGGATATTCTTCTTTGATGCTACACCAAAACTCAACAAGTATAGATTTCTTTAAAGTCATTTGTGGGGTGAAATCTGAAACCATGTCAATAATTTTTGTACTTTGTTTTGTGGTAAAAAAAATTTACTGGTTTATTGTGTATTTTGGATCTTTTATTCATGCATAATTTTTAAAACATCATTGCTCATTTGGAATTGCTCATTTGGAAATAATGGCTCACTATGTTATACAGATTATTCAAATGTTGACACGTTTCATTATGTAATATCCAAAATAATCACACTTGTTAACATCACTACTGTCCTCATCAGAAAATTCTTTTAAGTACCAGGAAGCTGTCATGGTTATGTGGCAAATAAAAGAGTCCACACTGCTAATTTTGGCTTAAAAGCTCAAATGTTTTCATGAACAATAAATACTGTTCATTGTCCTCTTGAAGTGACAGACTTACACTGTTAACTTTCAAAATGTCTGCAGAGTTCTCAAGTCTGAATAATCATAGTTTGTCTTTCAGTATTTGATTTTAAGCAAAATGGTGTGTCATGAAAATAATTGCTAGTTAAACAATTATAAAAGTGCTTTTCCAGCAGGGAAGGGAGTGTCCATGATGCTTGCCACACTGTCTGTCATGAGACCAAATTGCATGTGGTAGCTTTTATTCATATACGTCAACAGGAATATTATTTTGGCCTGAATCATCCAGAAGAGCCATAGAAATAATGTCAAATTTAGTGAAACCTAGTGGGATATTGTTATATACTAAAACATATATGTATTTTGTCTTCATCCTGGGTTCCTGGCACAGAGCTCTTAAAATCATTTTTATTTTCCTGATTGACGGGTGACAGGGACATCTTTTGTTATAATAGTTGGTGTTAGTTCCTAGTTCCTGACACAAGAGCATCTAAAACCCTTGGAATCTCTGGAGTGATGGGCATCTTTGTCTATGCTAATGAGATCACCGTACCTGGGGGTCTCTAGATACCTCCTAGATGGGCCTGATTGCCAAAAAGACCAAAAGCATGATTAGAGCATTGGAACTTTTAGTCCCACCCCAACAATATCAATGGATAGGAGAGACTGAAGATTGAGTTAATCACAAATGGCCAATGATAAGCTATGGGGCTCTGAGGGCTTCCAGGCTGCTGGGAGAGTGGCATGCCCCTTCCCACATACCTTGCCATATGTATCTCCTCCATTTGGCTGTTCCTGACTTGTAGCCTTTATAATAAACCAGAAAGAGTAAGAAAACTGTTTGACTAAGTTTTGTGAGCCATTCTAGCTCTAGGAAATTGTCAAACCCAAGGAGGGAGTCATGGGAACTCCTGATAGATAGCCAATTGATCAGAAGCACAGGAGGTCCAGGGCTTGCAATTGGCTCCTGATGTAGAGGCAGTCTTGTGAGACAGAGCCCTTAACCTGTGGGATCTGACACTAACTCCACTAATGTTGTAATTAAATTTAGTTGTTGGACATCCAGTTGGTGTCCAGAAAGTTGGAAAACCGATCGTTGGTTTAAAGAAAAAGCACATATTCGATGTCAGAAGTGTTGGGAGCAAAAGCAGTTCCCCTAAAATTAGAAAACATTTTAGATACCATCTAGTCCACACTAAGAGGAAAGTTTCTCTACAGCAGGCTTGACATGAGGTCATTCGGCTTCTGATCAAGCACTTCCAGTGATGTGAATCTCAGTAATTCTCTATGCAGCCCATTCTACCATTCTTGGATAGCTTCAATTATGCAGATCTTCATCATATTAAGCCAAAATGTTCCTTCCTTGGTTCTGTGATGCAGAAGAGAATGAATCTACTCTCTCTTCCATACGGCTAACCTTCAAGCATTTAAACTTTAAATTTCTTTGAATTTTAAAGACCACTTTAATCCATATCTTTTCCCACTTCAATTCACACACACACACACACACACACACACACACACACCCTTCCATCATCCTGATACCTCTTCTGTAGGACAGAACATGGTTTCTGTACTACTTGTCCTCATATAACTTGGTTTCTAAATCTCTGTTGCCCTGTCATCCTAAACCCTTTCTGCTTACTCGTGTGCCTCTTAAAAATAGAACCAGAACACTATTAAAAGATCTTGAATTAAATCTTTCTAGAGCAGAATTCATTTTCTTCCTGTACACTTGTATTGATACAGCCTATAATTATATTCACTTTTTGTTTGTGTGTTGGTTTGTTTTTCAGGAACCATATTAAACTGTGGGCACATGTTGAATTAGTCTCCAAGCAAAACCTCCACATCTTTTTCCCACGTGAACATTGTTAATTTGCCTTTACTGTTCTCTGTTCATGCAAGTAATATTTTAGCCTAAGTGAAGGAATTTATATATCATCCTAATACGTTTAGATCCATTTAGAATGATCTAGACTGTTTAATTTTTATCAATTTTAATTTTATTTCTGTAACAAAAAATGCATGCTGCCAATCAAAATCTACTCTCTCCTTCCTGGGCACATGACAAGATTACCTTTCCCTCCTCCTTTGTAGTTAAATGCAACCGTGAGACTGATTTTTGGCCAATTGAAGGTAACATAAGTAAACAAGATATATACTACTTTAGGGGGTGTTGTTGTCAATTTGTGCTGCTATAACAACGTACTGGAAACTGGGTAATTCACAAACAACAGAATCTATTTCTCATAATTCTGGAGGCTGGGGAGTTCCATACCAAGCTGCTTGCAAGGTCAGTGTCTAGTGAGGGCTGCTATCTGCTCCCAAGATGGCACCTTTTGCTGCATACTTCAGAGGGGACAAACCTTGTGTCCTCACTTGGCAGAAAAGATAGAAGGGAATGAGTCCATTCCCTCAAGCCCTTTCATAAGGGTTCTAATCCCATTTATAAGCACTCTGCCCTCATAACTTAATCACCTTTTAAAAGCCCCACTCCTTAACACCATCACATTGGCAACTAAGTTTTAGCATTTGAATGTTGGGGAGGACACATTCAAAGAAAAGCAGGAAGCTTTAAGGCAGCAGCATGTCTACTTCACCCTCTGCCTCCCCTTCTAGTCTCGAACCTGGACATGATGACTCAGTCTTAGCTATTTTGTTGACAAGAAACCCCTGGATATGATAGAGTCATAGACAGAAGTAGCCGTGTTCCCTGAATCTCTGTGCAGGCAAGAGCTACATTCAGCCCTGGAAAACCAACTCTGGAATCACATAAGCAAGATATAATCTATACCTTAAGCCAATAAATTTGGAGTCTATTTTTTACAACAGCTTAGCTTACATTAACTTATGTAATATGCAACATATTTATGGTAGGCATAAATATTTAGATATATGTCTTCATCTATAGGTGGATGAATCTTTATCCACACTGCTTTTTTTCCCTGTGGTTAGAATAGTGATGAGAAATATAATATCTACCCATAAAATTAGACCTTTCATATTTCTATGCTTGATTTCATCTTAATACGCCTATTTTACTTCTTAGAGGGTACCCTAACTTTCTGGTTCTAATGATATTATGCTTTTATTCACAAGTAACCCCTTCTTTGAAGGCTTGTCTTCCCCAGAGAAAGTTAAAGTAACCTCTCTTTACCCTGCTCACACTGAAACCATGGTGAAGTGTCATGACTTGTAATTCTATTAGCAATGTTTACCTGCTATCTTTTCATCAGAGTATGGGCTCCTGAGGATAGGGACCGGATCTTATTTATCTGTGCATTCTCAGTGATGTATCAGCATCTGACATGTAGTGAATACTCAATAAATGCTTGAAAATGAATGAATACACAGATACTTCTAAATTTGGACCTATAAGAAAAAGAAATCATCAAGAGATAGTGGTTGTAACATCATTAAGCTTCCATTAGTGATAAATAAAGGCTGAGTCTCTAACTATAAATTGATAGGAACAGAGAAATTGATTATATGCAGGATCTCTCTGGCATTCTGAATTCTGTGAGTTCTTTTATAATCCTATTTTTGCTTTCATTGCCCAGAACTAGTCACGATGTCATAATCATCAACAACTAGTCTATGTTTCACAAGGCAATATAGAAGCCTCTGAAAACCAGAGTGTGATTTTTAAACCTTGCTCATTTTTTTATGCTCAACTAAGATGGAACCTACTGTCTCTTTATATTTCTTACTTTGGGTTCAATTTATTTAAGACTATTCATGACAGCCAGATGGCCCACGCTAGTTTCAGATGATTTATCATAGTGCTCAGCTGTTGCATTAAATCCATTCCTTAAAGGAGAAAAAACATTTTTATTATAACAGGAAGAAAGTAGGGGTCCAGACCTCTAGGATAGCCTAGATGTCAGCTCATGGCTCCCTGACCTTGAAAATCTTTATGTAGAACTTATCTAAATAACTCACTTTCTATTTAATAGTCCTTTGGAAATCCAAATGCTTCGCCAGTTTTTCTCCAAATTCTAGGGAATATGATGGTGAATGGGATATACTGTCCTGATGACCTCTTGCTTAGAAGTCGTACCTCTCACCTTCTCAGGTACATACACTCTGTGTTCTATACCACATTAACTCGAGTATAAAGCTAAGCCCCTTTCTCAGTTCCCCCTAAAAACCTATTCGATATTATTGATATTTGAGGGGGGAAGAGAAGGGAATCTTACATGACAAAATTGCAAACAAGTTCAAAATGAATGTCAGCCTCTCAAGTAGTCTCGCTCTTAAATCTGTTTTACCCATTCCACAGGGACTCTTTTCCACTGACCACTTCACCTGTGATACTTTAGCCCTGCATCTTCTCACTGAATCCTGTCTCCTTTCTTCTCCTATCTATCCTCTACTGTCCTAATTTCTGTTTCTTTCTAACTTAGAGTAATGCAACTCTTACTTGTGGCTTATGTTTCTGCAGATTCAGTAAGATCTCACCTTTCTCTCTGAGTCTTACTGAGGTACTTTCCTAAATAACTACATCATTTTTAAGTGTAATTATAGTGCCAGCTGCAAGACAAAAAACTTTAAGCCCCAATGTAAATACAGGTTAGGAGTGTGGGTAGGGTAGAAAGACTGCTGATACTTATTAATAGATCTCAGTCATTTTGTCCAAGGGTCTACAGTACATTAACTGACTCCCAGTCACCCTGACTCCTAGTCAAGTCCCCTCTTCACCACAGTCATTTTAACAGACTCTGCAGTGTGGAGTGAGCACATTTCATCCTATTCCCCACAACAAATAAATACCCCTCTACCTACCTTCCTTTATTCCATGGTTGGGTAACAGTCCACCTTTCTTATTCTCTGGTCCTGTTTTCTTTCTTCACATCCCGCCATTACCTCTGTGCATCCAAGACTGAGACTCTTAAAAAAATGCATCTAAGATTAGGACTGCAATGCCAGCTTTCAGTATCTCACTACAACAATATTTTTATAATAATTCCCTGTACCAAATTACCATACTTTGTTCGTGTTTTTAAAAATCTCAGATCCGTTTTACATCTTGAGCTAAGCCTTTAAAAAGCATTTTGACCATGTCTGCCTTCTGTTTAAAATTCCTACAATGGATCTTGTTATTTTAATTCACATTTACTCAGTTACTAGAGAGAAATTAGATGTTTTATTATCTTTATCAGTCATTTGAATTCACTCAGAACTAGGTAAGTTTGATAAAGTTTTAGAAGTTGGGATGGAGACAGCAGGAGTCAAGAAAAGCTGGAGGTGAGTATATTGTTAAACATAGCAGAGATTAAGTGTTCAATATTCAATATTCAAATAGGGTTGAGAAATAGGTAATCAGCATTCATGGATGTTCTGAGATAGAATTATCAACATTTAGTCACACGACCACCACATAATGTGAACTACACTTAAATGTTCCTCTAAACTACAATTGTGCACACTTTATCTCAGAGTTGGGTACTTTAAGAGGTGTAATTATTGTTTCAACATGACATCAAAATATCTCCTTAAAAAGTTAATACACACACACATGCACACACATATACACACATACATTCCAGATGTGCTGTCTTTACGTTCCGGGCACCTGGTTGTTTCCAAATAGCTGGGTGCATGGCCTCCTGTGGAAGGAACATCTGGGTGATTGACTGCATTCTTCCCTATTCATCCAAAAGTTTTGGCAGCTAGTTGCAGACAGATTGAAAATCTTCTCCTGAAACAAGCATGAATAGTCTTTGTCAGCTAAATATTGACAGGCTCTGTGGTGGGGGTTTTTCCCAAGTCTGGGATACCATCAAAATGTTATTTTCCAGCTGCTGAGTGCTGCTCTTTTATATCATAACTCAAGATCAATTATATTTAAAATGCAACATCAAAAATACACTTAGTAAGATTTCAGTTCTGGCAGAGGTGTTTAGATTACGATAAAAGTACAGAATGGTACATAAGGCAATGTGCTTCTGAATTATCAGACTGTATTTAACATATGAAATTATCCCTCATGACTGATTTAGGCTTTTGTACACGGAAAGAATGAAGCTGATTATCTATTGGCAGTTAAATTTACCTTGGTTCAGACCTATGGGTGTCCATCGATTCTAATGAACAATAGAATATTAAATTAAGGAAGTTTACAAGTTCCAGTAGAATAAACATGTGGTTTAATTTCTTTACAGATTGGCCGGGCGCGGCGGCTCAAGCCTGTAATCCCAGCACTTTGGGAGGCCGAGGCGGGTGGATCACGAGGTCGAGAGATCGAGACCATCCTGGTCAACATGGTGAAACCCCGTCTCTACTAAAAATACAAAAAATTAGCTGGGCATGGTGGCGCGTGCCTGTAATCCCAGCTACTCAGGAGGCTGAGGCAGAAGAATTGCCTGAACCCAGGAGGCAGAGGTTGCGGTGAGCCGAGATCGAGCCATTGCACTCCAGCCTGGGTAACAAGAGCGAAACTCCGTCTCAAAAAAAAAAAAAAAAAAAAAAAAAAAAAAAAAAATTTCTTTACAGATTGTCTGGCATTACCAATCAAAAATGAATTATTTAAAATATGCCCGTATAAAAGGTATGTACACTTATTTTTCCTATATGTGCATGCATTATTCAGCTGTATGGCTTGCTGGATAAGAAAATCTGTTTGGACTATTGGGTTGTGTATGGATTTCGGTTGTACCAACTACTATCTATGTGGACTTTGCAGATTATTTAATTTGTCTGCGGCATTGCAAACTAAATAATAATACAGCCTAGATCACAGAGTCATTGTGTTACGGTTAAATGAAATGATAAATGAGATGACATAGGTAAGGTATATAGGAGGTGACTTGAACACGATAAGCTCTAAATAAATGTAACAAAACTGTAAGTGCAAATGAGAGTGTGTGAGTATATGCCTGTGTGCTTAAAGCATTTGGCATTGATTTTCTGAATCGTATTCTTAAAGAGTTGTCATGTGATTCCCAGTTTATAAGAATATGGGGGAAAATTAACAAACCAAAACAACAAATAGAAATTTTCACCAGGGCCGGGCGTGGTGGCTCAAGCCCGTAATTCCAGCACTTTGGGAGGCCGAGGCATGCGGATCACAAGGTCAAGAGATCGAGACCATCCGGGTCAACATGGTGAAACCCCATATCTACTAAAAATACAAAACATTAGCTGGGCATGGTGGTGCATGCCTGTAATCCTAGCTACTCAGGAGGCTGAGGCAGGAGGATTGCTTGAACCCAGGAGGCAGAGGTTGCAGTGAGCCGAGATCGCGCCATTGCACTCCAGCCTGGGTAACAAGAGTGAAACTCGGTCTCAAAAAAAAAAAAAAAAAAAAGAAAGAAATTTTCTCCAAAAATAAGACATAACTGTTAGGTTTTACTATTCTAAAACCTTCAGCAGATTTTGATCAAGTTCTTGTTCAATTACTCACAAAGTCTTTGACTTTGGGTCATGTACTGTGTCCTTAATTACTAATGAGAATGGGAATTCCTGTGCTTTCTGCCTCTTTGAATCGCTGTGCTGATCACATGGGAAGCTCTGATGGATATCTATTTCTCTTATCTGCCTATCTCCTGTCTTCCTTGGAGGCACTGCCCTCTTTATCCAGCTGCATGTCTCCTGCAGATTTGTTGGTCACTGGGATATTGGTAGATGCCTGATTAATGGTGGTACTCCATTCCCAAGTTCTCAATGATTGGTCCAATAATAGGCATCCAAGAAGAATCAGGAATAATATATCCATGAGTTTAGATATAAACAGAATCTGGGTGAGAAAGAGCCTTCTCTCCTTGGATCACCTTTTGTATGGGAAATGTGGGTTGGAGCTTTTGCTACCATCTCCTCCAACCACATAAGAAAAGCTGTCTATGACAGCAGAGAAGTGGATACAATTTGAGATAAAAAGAAGTAAATATGAAAAATGAAGAAGACAGAGGAAGCCCATGAACATAACATAGCAAAACCACTTTTCCAACCTTGTTATAGGTCTATAAACATTATTTAAATTATTTCTTGCTACCCTGTATCACGGAGCCTCCAAGTTTATGCCTTTACTTGCTTTGCTATATTGCCACTACTCCACCCACCAATTTCAACTTCTAAATCTCTTTTCCTGCTGCATTTTCAAATCTTGGATCCTTTAATTTCCAGCTTTCTTTTACCTCCCCATCCCTTACTGATTTCCCTCTCATCTGAAATGTTACCAAATAGGACCATGCATCTCATATTTTAGTATTTAATAATATGCTATAATGATACTTTGGGGTGTTTCAATATTGGTCTGGATTTTGGATTCATACCTTCTTCTATATTCCAACAGCAAATAAGACTTTTCTTACTCTATATTGGAATCAAGGCTGTTTGCTTGCCAGCTGCTTCCTAGCTTCTAAATATGCAGTGAATTTTCAGTGCAACATGAACGAATCTTTAAAAGAGAATGCTAAGTACAAAAGTAATAATAATAATAGTAAACCAGAATATTATACTCACACCATTTAGACATTAAAAATACAGACAAGTAAAACACATCTAATAAAAACATATACGAACAAAAGGTATATATTTAATAGAGTAAAGTGGCTGTGAAAGAAAAACAAGATTATGGGAGTAGGGTACAGAGATAAAAGAGGTCTTGCTTGAAGTAATGATGCCAGTATTCTATAAACAGGACACTTTTTCAAAAGTCAATGCTGCATCTGAGTTTCTAAATAAATCTGTAAATATATGCTCATATACTGGGTCACAAGTGTAACAAGATTCCTCAATAGTTTTGAAAATTGAAATCAGAACTGTCCTAAAGCATAGACTTTGTTACATATAAGCTGTTTATACGATGAGGCAAAAGGATTACACATTGAATGGGTTTCAAACTTTAAGAAAATCCAGTATAAGAAAATATGAATAAAAAATTCTAAAACATATTTTTAAAAGGTTGGAAAGCAATTATTTCCATTGTTGAAAAATATGTATTCTATTTAATAGATAACTTGCTGCACAGTTAATTTAAAATTGAGCAGTCAAGGTTCATGTAAAAGCATGTTTCAATTAAAACTTTCTTTTATTTATAAAAATTTAACTCACACCAATATTGCATAAAGAGGAGCAACCCCATTTTTGTGTATGTCATCAAATGTCTGCTTTTTCCAACCTTAACTTGCATCTTACATGTCCTAATAATGACTAAAATATGCAGTATAAAATACATAGTAGAGAGAAGTCTGAGAATTTATTTAAGAGTAAATTAATCAATTTAAATGCACATTTTCCAAGTATTTGTGGAAAGGGATTTTTGTTTTGTTTTGTTTTAATACTGACAACAACAATGTAAGGCCCTCAGGAGCCAAAATTCATAGTGTTCTTTTTTTTGTAATTCTCAGATTTTCAGGGTCTGATGATGGCAGTAATCAAGCTAATTATGTTAATGACAGTCATGATGTTGATGGCAGAGGTATTCAAGACTGGCAAAATGAAAAATCTTATTGTTGAAATGAGCCCTTTTAAATTGTCATTTCATCGTTTTTCCCCTTTCACCATTGGCAATAATAGGTAGAGAATCACAAATTAAATCAAACTATATTATGTTCCTTGACACAGGAAACTATATCTTAAATCACCAGTTCTCAACCAAGGTGTCATGACATACTCATTTGTTCATAACAGCTGTGAAGAACTTTAAGATCGGTCTTAATGTGTGATGCAATTAGATATTAATATAGAAAGTACTTTAAAATGTGCTTTTTAATAAACCAGTGTTATTTGAGGTTCTACCGTAAATTATATTATTTTCACCCATTTGCTTTCAAATTATGCTCTCTCCCAAGGCAAAAAATGAAGATGTAACTAGTATGTTAAAAACTGCATATAAAACCCTTCTATTTTGTTCATGCCACAGTCCCATGGTGAAAGCCTTCATGTATCCTCATTTCCAATGTCCTGTCATCTTATAAACAAGGAAAGATCCCAGCATTCAAGTCTGGGATCTAATCTAAATCTAATCTAAATCTAACAATATGCTTCTCAACGGCAGAATTGGCACAAAAATCTTTTGTCAAATTCTGGATCCTGAATTTTGGTTTGAAAAATACAGTCATCCTAGAAATCTGCTAAAAAAGTGTTTTTTTAATTGTTATATAAAAGAGAAAAAGAACCAGAGAAGATCACTCAGATATTTACTCAGGTATAACTCAGTTACAAACCAGTAATATGAAAACCCAGATAAATAAAAATTATGTTTCATCAGAGCAATTCATTTAACTGATAACTGTAACATTTTCCCTCTCTGAACTCTTTTTACTGTGTCTGTTAACAAAAACAAAAAGAAAAAAAAAGGGAGAAACCTCAAAGAGCATCCAAGCCTCTAAGAATTTATAAGAGCAAAAAGGGAGACATTTGATTATATTCCTACCTGCAATAGATTGCCAGTCATTTGCAGTGCACTGAATAAAGAATTGCCGTTTTCAATTCACACTGGGGAGAGAAAATGGGGAAATTCTATAGGTAAAAGGGAAAATGTCACATTCATACGAAATACTAAAAATACAAAGTTGAGTGAGGAAAAAGAAAAGTGATTGGGAAGGAAAAGGGAAAGGAAGCCTGCGGGGTCTTGGGCAAGACTGACAGAGTGGTGAGACTGAATTGAGTTTTTAATTTTAAGAGGAGTAGGAATTAAATTCGCCACCAGAAAAATAAATCAAGGGAACTTTTATAGGGTGACTAATACA